ATTTCAAATAAAATAAGTAACAATCAAAAGAATGAGAACCAAATTTGATAGATAAAACATTTTAATAAAAAAATAATAGGAAAAAAGAAAATAACAATTATAAAAATGAGGATCAAAGTTAATATAAAAATTAAATTTTAAGAGATGAAATTGAAAAATAAATATTCAAAAAAAAATACATAGCAATCAAAAATTTGAGGATCAAATTTGATATAATAAGTAAATAATAACATTTTCAAATTTTTCATAATTTTCAAAAAATATTTTCCACCCAAATTTTCCAAGAAAACACTTTCCTGAAAACTAAGCCAAATTTTTCGTTGACCAACTTTCCTAACGGCAAACAAATACAAGAAAGTTTGGAAAGTGATTTCCCTGAAACCACTTTCCGAAAAACAAACACATCCAAAAAAAAAAACACGTTCCTGAAAATCAAACCAAATTTTTCTTTGAACATCAAAAAAAAAAAAACACGTTTCTGAAAATCAAACCAAATTTTTCTTTAACTGAAAAGTGTTTTCCATTGACCAAAAAGTGTTTTTCATTGACCGGAAAGTGCTTTTCATTAACCAACTTCCCTAATGGCAGACAAACATGAGAAAGTTTAGAAAGTAGTTTTTCGGAAACTACTTTCTGGGAATCAAACATGCCTAAAAACTACAACAATTTAATTGATAAAAGGACAACTGGAGCATATTATTTTGAGACATTTTGATACAAGAAAACCCATAAAGGACAAGTAAAAATGTGTAACGATGTATTTGATAGTCCAAGTTTTTCATGCTACCAGACATGCTTCAATTATCTAGCATAAAAATTGGAAAAGATAATATAAACAAAGGCAGGCAGAAATGATCACAAGGGATTGTCCATCCTCTGATTGTGTCAACAAATGCACTTCTTCAATTGGAAATGACTACACAAATTATGAGGTCACATTTATGACCAGCATATGGACAGAAAAGGAAAGTGGAGAATATACCCTTGCAGGAGATTGATCACCGTTGCACAGACAGAATAAGCAGAATATACATTTCTACCGCCTAGACTTCTATCATCGAGAAAAGCATCCAGAAACAGGAAAAGAAAACAAATGATATTTCACATATAATATGGGAAATGTAAAACACTAAAGAAACAAGCATTAAAAACTATAATAAAAAAGCTGTAAACACATTACATACAAATCCAGTATTGGACAATAAAATAGACAAATAACTAGGATGAGAAAGCTTGATGGGAAACCAATTAAAGATGGTCCTCGTAGGAAGCAGATAAAGTAGTAAGTGATATTAATTTTCAGGCCGGGTTTAGTTAGTGAGCCAAAGAGAAGGCAGATGCATCTCTCCACAACTCGCAGGGAAGCGAAGGGCAGATGCCCCCCACAACCAACAGAAAGTAACTAACCCCAGCTCAAGAGAGTAGTAGTTGATCCAAATATCATCGCTGACTACATGCAAAGCTTTTGAACTTGTTAAATTCCAACAAAGCAACAATGAAATGGCCAAGTTATTAACAATACCTGGAACAGATTTGGCTGAATTTGAGGTTGATTTACAGTAAGAAGTTATAGCATCAACTTCGACAAGTAGTGAATTAGCAACGATTAATTTTGAAATCGAAAACAATGGATCATTTCGTGAGCATCAATAACTAATTGATTAACAACCAAATCGAAGCATGAATGAAAGTTGCAGAGGACAAACTAGTTCTGGTGCTGCTTGTTAAAATAAATAAATAAACCAAGTTAGAAAGAAACCTTGATTCTTCAGTAGGAACCCAAGTCCAATATCTGCGGTCTTCAATTCCCGTAATTGACATCCCTTTGGCCGATATCGACATACAAACCCTACCCGTCACTCTATCAAGCCACACCTCCTGTTCAATTTTGTCATTTTTTTAATAAATAAACCCTTAATTCGAAAATCCAAAAAGAAGAATGCTAGAGAGGCAGACCTTATTGCCGTCATCAAAAGGGAGAGGGCGAGAGAGGAGGGCAAATATGTCTTTTTTGGAGAAATTGAGGTATCTATCAGGAGGGAGGATATGGAGCAGATCCTGATAATTAGAAGGCAACTTGTTTTCCCAAACGGAATCGGAAGAAGCGGCTCCTCGAAAAGCACGGTTCAATCGAGCCAGATTGCAAATCTCAGGAGGCGTCAAGTACATGAAAACACAAGCCACGCAGCTCTCCGGTATGTCCCCCAAACCAGGACCACCCATGCCCGCTCCCTCCGTCAGGTTCGATAACGAGGCGCCCATCCTCAAGGCACGGAGAAAGATAAAGAGGGAAGTTGTCAGTTATTGAGAGCTTTTCATCGTAAGTTTTTGCCGGAAAATAGAAGGTAGAGGCGACGAGGGTTTGTTAACTTTGGCCTTAGCTACCAATAGGAGAGGAGGAATTGTGCAGTCGGGTCCCTCCAGTCATGCAATTTTCTTTTCCAGCACAAGCAAACAGATTGCCCCCTCTCGCTCTCTCTTATTCTTCTTTTTTTTTTAAAAAAAATCATTTTTATTTTTTATTTTTTTGTCTTTTTGGTTGTAATTTTTTGAGGCAGCATGTGAAACCCGAGAGCCGTTGCTTGCTTAGAGTGACTCGTGTCCCTTAGCCCAAATTTTTATCTAGTATTCTACCTATTGTTTTTATTTTTATTTTCTGTCCTTTTCTTTCTGCATTCTATCTTTATTTCCTATGTTTTAAAAACTATTTAAGAATATTTGTATCCCGCTTGCTAGTTCCTCTGCTGCTCTTGTTTTATCTTTAAGAAGTTTCTTCTCAAAGTGTAAAATAAAAAATGTCAGCAATGCTAAATGGACCCTTAACAAATCATTTTCTAATAATTTTACAGATAATTAAAAAAATAAAGTTATGTCAATAAATAATCTATCCATGGATACTAAAAAAAAAAAAATACAAGTAATGCTATTTTGATAAAAATGAATGGCAGAGAAAAAACGTTGTACAAGTAATGCTATTTTTATAAAAATGAATGGCAGAGAAAAAACGTTGAAATAAGCAAGTGGGATTCAACAGTTCCCAGTAATTCATTAATTAATAAGATTTGTATCCTACGCTCCTCTGTTTGATGGGCAAAAAAAAATGAAGTAAAAAATATTAAGATAAAGGTAATTGGTTTGATTAGTAATTTAAATAATATGATTAAAAAATATAATAATAAAAAAAATTCATCAAAAAATAATAACAAAAAAAAGATTAAAAAACCTTTATCTTAGCCTATCTAAATTATAAAACAACTCAATATTAAAGGGTTTAATTAAAAAAAACTTGGTTAAACCGGATTAACTCGCAAACTTATCGACTATGGATATAAGATTGGAATAATTTTGTAGAAAAAATACATGAAAAAAGTTTGAAGATCAATTCCTAATAAATCAAAGAGAATATGATAGATCTACAAAAATAAAAACAAAAAAGATGAAGTTCAATCTCTAGCAAATAAAACATTGAAGAATGAAAATTAAAAAAACAAAATTAAAAAAAACAAAAAAAAAGATCCAAGTCCATCTAAGTCAGGTTACAAAATCTATAATCCAGTTATGATACAAGGATAACTATCTTCGAAAGCAAATTGAATAAAATTATACAGCACAGTTATCGAACAACTTAATGTTGACAGAAAAAAATAAAAAAAAATAATTTAAAAAAGCAAAGAAAAAATATGAGTCAACTTAAGTTAACTTACAAACCTTGCGACCATGAGCACATGATCGGGATAACTTAATAGAAAGTAAATGAAAAAAAAAGGTATGAAGATCAAATTTCAATAAATTAAATATTAAAGAATGAAATTGAAATAAATTAATTAAAAAAATAATTAAAAAAAATCAATCCACGTCAAACTTTGAAAAGGATGACTCTGGTCATGAGCTCAAGACTGACCATAAATAATCACTTTGAGTCAACATAGGTTAACTCGTAAATTCGGTGATCATAGGCATAAATTTGAGATAACTCAATTGAAAGGAAAAGAAAAAAAACAAATGGAAGATCAATTTCAAATAAATAAAATATTAAAAGATAAAATTAAAATAAATCAATTTAAAAGAGAGCAGAAAAAAGTTTGTCCATGTTAACATTTGAAATCAATGACTCTAGTTAAGAACCCGAGGCTAATACCATATATGAAAAACCATAAAAAATTATTAATCAAAACTCTAAAAAAAGGTAAAACATAATATAAAAAAGATTAGCTTTAAAAAAAAAAAGGAACAAAACTAGCCCCGACAAACCTATTAAATCTGGTCTAATATCTAAAACTCACAACCCATGAATTTCTTGACTCGAGTTCAATCAAAAAGCTTAATTTTTCATCAATTTAAGATAGCAATAAAAACAACAAAAATCAAAATTTGATAGAAGAAACCCTGAATGATGAAATTATAAACAAAAATTAATCAAGAAAATGATCCCAAACAAAATAAATAGCAATTAAAATAATAAGGACTAAATTTGAAAGATTAAAAAATAAAATGGGTGAAATTGAAAAAAAATATAATTTTATAACCTATTAAAAAATAGTAATTAAAAGAATGATTATCATATGTAAAAGATTAAAAAATGAAAACGGTGAAGCTAAAAATTATATTTGTAATTTTATAGCTTGTTCAAAACAAAAATAAAAAAGTAGTAATCAAAAGGATATAAACCAATTGTAAAGGAAAAAAATGAAAGGGCTGGTTTGAAATTTTAAAGGGGTTGGTGCTAAATTCGAGATGGACAATGCGAAAAATAAGAAAAAAAATAGTTGTTGGTGTCAAACCAAAGACGTGTCTGTAGTCCACGTGTCATAGCATCATGAAAGGGACATTATGAACTTTCAAACACCACTCTGAAAGACAGTATTTAGTGGTTTGATGACCTTACATGTGCTATCTGAATGACTCAGGATGACTCATGAGCTGTCCAACATGTCTTTTAAAATAATATTTAATATATATAAATTATAAGAATTATTATTTAGTAATCTTTAAATCTATAATAAAACAAATATAAAATGACAAAAGAAACCCTAATGAAAGAATTGCGTTGATTTTGTCTTTAAGAGCATTAAAATAATTAAACTATTTTGAAAAAATTAAAATACCAGGACACACCTTTGTAATAGGCATTGTGTTTTTTTTTTTTAATTTTAGGTTTAAATTAACAATGTTAATAAAAAAAATTTTAGGTTTAAATTAACAATGTTAATATGCAATAAAAAATAAAACAATCAATTTAACTGTAAAAAATTTATAAAAGATAATTGTATTATTGTGAAAAAATCATCTTACCTCGTATGCCTAGTTCAAAGATTTAATAACTAGAGAATAATTTTATTATTATACTATTATAATGAACAATATTTTGTTTATGAGATACATAAACTTATCTTTTCTTCTTAAGTTTTTTTTAAATTATTTTAATTTTCCAATCCTTGTATTTTTTTAACTCATGTGGCTGACCCTTTTATATATTTTTTTAAAGGGTAGATGACATGTCGTCTATCCTATATTTTTTTATAAAAACTAATAAATGTTTGTTGTCTACTAAAACGATGGTTGAAAACTTAGGCTTCAATTTTTTTTTTTAACTCAAAACTCTATTTTAAAGTTATTTTTACATAAAAATATAGAGTAAACATATTTAACATCTTAATAAACAAATTTATCAAGTTAAAGATCTCTAAATTGACTTAAAAGAATAAAATCAAATTGAAAAAATAATCTTTTTCAATTTAAATCTATTTTTTTT